CTTCCGATGGCATCTTGCCTGCATGATCTGCCAGCAGGTTTGCTAAGGGGATTGTTAGAGGCAGAGAGCCCATGATTCTTTAACTGCTTCATTCCTCATTCTTTTTATCTAGGAAAAGAATCACCAGGTTAGACAAGGCATGGTGTGCATTCAGGAGAGCATAAGTCAGGAGTTGCTTTCATTTGCTTACTGATCTCATTCCTATAATTAGATTCTTTCAAGGTTAGAGGGGAACAGAAATGGACAAACAGAAAAGGAGCAAAAGAGCTGGTTTCATGTTCAACTAGGTATCATTTTGACACCTCAAAGTTTATGTGGTCAAAACTGAACTCATGTTTGCCCTCAAGCCTTGCAACCCTCAAATGCCCCTTACACACAGTGCTCTGATGTAGGTCTGTATTTCATAGATCAGTTTCCTATGTCCAAAACATGGGAGTCCTCCTTAACTGTTTTTTTTCCCAGAAAGTTACTAGGTCATATCAGTTCTTTTCCTAAATATATCTCGAACTGGTCTTTTGTGGGCCACTTTTAACTCACTTGCATTTCTGTAGCACTTTGAGAATTGGTTCAGGGGCGTCTCTCAAATGCTTGTATGGCACCCTGTTATACTTCTACGTATTGATTCCCCTTTAAAGTTTTAACTGTCTCTTTACTCTTCTGTGTCTCCTACTGTACTGTAAACATCTTAAAGTTGGAGAGTAGGGTTTTTTCATTCTTTTATCTCCACTTTGCTTCCTGGCTTAGAGGAAACCCTCAGCAAATCATTGGGACTTGAGAGCATGAATGAATAGAAGGATATTTTCACCTCCCTTGTGTGGTAATAATTTGAGCTTACATAGAAATTACTGAAAACATTTTTATGAGGGAAAGCCCTTTTTGCACATGATTAGTCTTGCATTCTCTAATGTCTGCCTTTTTTTCTGAATGGATTGTAGATAGCTGTTAAACATCTCTTTAAAGCCCTAAGCCTATTGATTGCTTATCATGTATTACTCTGAATGCAATTCCTATTTCATTAATAAGCAAGCGATATGTACAGTGTCTCCTCTTAAGGTTTAAAAACTAATTTGCCTTTTTGGGGCTATCAGTTACATTCCCAGAGCATTGTTAGGTATGGTGTTTTGTATTGTCCTGAGTATTGATTCAGGAAAGCACATTTGTCTTGGGCTCTTGTCTTTGTTGAGAAGGATGGATGGCTCTACTTAATTATGATGAGATGTGCTGAATTAAATTAGCATTCTTTTCCAGATTTGTGCATTAGATGTGAAAGCATCCATCTCACTACACTCTCTTGGAAATCACTGACAGATCTGTTTCATATATTGCTTTTTTAAATTATTTTATGTTATCCTACAAGGAACTTCATGTTTTTTTCTAGTATTTTCATGTCCATTTCATGGTTTCCTTTTGATGGTCTTTTCCAGTGCTTTTCATTGTACTTGAAAACCTCTAAATCTCTTGTTTGATAAATATTGTTACAAATTTTTAAATTTAGATTAAATAATTGATAATAAAAGGACAAGATAGGGCTTCCCTGGCGGCGCAGTGGTTGAGAGTCCGCCTGCCGATGCAGGGGACACGGGTTCGTGCCCCAGTCTGGGAAGATCCCACATGCCGCAGAGCGGCTGGGCCCGTGAGCCATGGCTGCTGAGCCTGCACATCCGGAGCCTGTGCTCCACAACGGGAGAGGCCACGACAGTGAGAGGCCAGCGTACCACAAGAAACAAACAAAACAACACAAAAACAAAAACAAAAACAAAAAGGACAAGATAAAAAAGAAATGCCTATATTTTATATTTAAATTATTTGTCTAAATTATTTCATTTTATTTTATCTTCCAGGATAGTTAATTTTTTTTTGCTTTAATTACATTATATTCTGTTATCTGAAGCTGCAAGGCAAGATCTCTGTTTTATATCCACAGTGATATTTAAGATATCCTATTGAGATCATAGTAAACTGAAGCGTTGAGATAACTGACTAAAAAAACATATTTTAAGTAATGTTTTGAATATGCTGGTACATTTCTATACATCTTGGTAGAATCTATGCATGCTTCAAATTCACACTATAATATCTGGACTAGACAGTAGCCAGTGTCTTGGCAAAAGATGAAATAATGTTCCTGTATTTAAACAGAAACCACGTTTCTTTCCAGATTTCCACTCTCTTTTTGTTTGTTTGTTTGTTTTCATGTTATCCATACCAGAAAAATCACTAAATTTGGTAATTGATTGAAATTTTATCCTATTTTAGTTTTGAAATAACTTAAAAGATTTCACAAACTTAAATTAATTCATTATCTTTAATAAAGCTTGGGCAACTGTGACCAGTGCTGAACTAAGAATTAAATCAGATTTGAGACCAGCTTTCTGCCCTGATGTGGCTTATAAATTACTTAAATAAATCACGAATATTGAAAGAATCGCCATGACATATACTAAATTGCTTTAAACTATGCCGAAATTTAAAACCTACTTCCTATTTGGCATCTCAGATTGTTTTACAGTGAAAACAGCAACATGAGATTTCTCTGTATAGTTTTCATTAGGAATTTGATAGTGTCATGATTTGGATCTTAATGTAATCTTACCGTGCAGTTGCATCAATGTGTGACTATTTAAGATTAAATCTTCATTTATTTCACTTTAAGACTCTTTTCTCCCCTAGAGCCTTAAATACTGCCCAGCTGTGGGAACAGACCACAACCAAAACTGATTAATTGGGCATAAATATTACAGAAGTTAAATTTCCAAACTTTCCCAGAAAGTTTAACATTAGCTGTGTGCTCAGTTGAAATGATGTTAATACATATAATTTATCATTATTACTATTAGAGAACATATTAACAAGAGCACAACATTTCAAGAAGCACAAGTGTACTTCTTACCTTGTTTTCGAGCCACTGGTATAAAAGAGGATAAATAATTATGTCATTAAGAGTGAGTGTGAAAGGAGATCATTAATGAATTCCAGGAATGGGTAGAGTAAGTATGATGATGTAGAAACTTTGGTTGGGCAAGTACTAGGCAAAGTCTAATTTTCACAGTTGTCTGATAACACAATGAGTCAATGGCAGTATAAGACATATTACAGTCTTGTATCTGATATAGCCTTTCCTTCCTCTATCATCTCCAGCTGTAAGCACAAGATGTACCTGGAAAGGCTACCAAACACCAGCATCATTATCCCATTCCATAACGAAGGCTGGACTTCACTCCTCCGGACCATCCACAGCATCATCAACCGAACCCCAGAAAGTCTGATTGCAGAAATCATCCTGGTCGATGACTTCAGTGATAGAGGTAAGATATTGTTAATAATATTTTATGTGATTCTCTCTCTTATCACCTACATAATCGTTATTGGCTTTTAAAATAAAGCAGGTGATCATTGTGATCGTTTCTGTCTAACTCTATCTGAAAGGAGATGATAAAGTTTTGTCTATGTTGTGATGCTGTGATTTCATAAAATGTTGACCAAAATGCGAAAGGAATTGAACAAAAAGTTATGGGCATCATTTGGGGACCTATAAGAAATTTGTATTACATTTCTGTTGTAAATTAGAGAGGTATTGGCAGAATGCCTCAAATTCTACCTGCAGCTTCAGGACAAACATTGTAAAATATGTTATGGTAAGTACGTATGAATGGTGAAATATTCCAGTAGAACCAGAAAATCTGTTCCCCTTTCTGAAAAGGATCTGCTCTGTTATTTACCAGTGTGCTACATTCTCCAGTCTGTGCTTTTGTTACTTCATAAATCCTGGAAATTATAAGTAACACAAATATTTTTACTTTGCAATTTTAGCTATTTTATCATATCTGACCAATAATAACAGCAGAAAGGCCTGGAATGCGGTGTATTAGAAACTTTGACACACTTCTACTCTTTTTTTTTGTTTTACTATTCTCATGAACACAGTTTGGTTTATAAGTCAGGGGAAAAGATTATAGAAAGTTTCTTGAGATTAGGACTTGATAAATCATATTCACTCTAAATAGGGGAAAGTAAAATTCTTCTTGGCTGGTGTGAGTGGAGAGGCGGAAACCTTTTCTAAAGATATTCATCTACCTTCTGTTTCCTTGCATGAAGGAGCTCTGTTTAACTGTACTGTATGTGTGTAAGAAAGAGTGGCAGGAAACGAGTCTGCGTGTTATTCTTATGCCTTCAAGAACATGCATCTTGAGATCCTATGGATTAATTGAGGTTTTGGAAATTTCATATGCAACAGAAACATTTGCTTCGTAGTACTTAAAAACTCTGTAGAAGTAAAACTGCTTGGTGTGTTAGCTTTGAGGTTCCTTTAGCATTTTTGTCTGCAATGATTCACTTCAAAAACTGATTCAGGGTTTGCCGATAATTCATATGTGTTGAAGTTCATAGGCCAAAAAAAAACGTTATCTATTGTTCTATTAAATAGTAAACTACAAACTTGGTAATTTAGGTTGATTTCAAAGTAGTTTTTGCCTTGCATTGCTTATATAGTTGTGTGTTCAATAAGTATCTAAATCAGTATCTAATAAGTACCTAAATTAAATGTATTACTTAAAATTAATTTAAATAACATGTTGATTTCCTTTTTATTCTAATTGAGGCTACTTATTTCAAAGCAGTCATTACCACCTCAGGCTAAAAATAGGCATTTCATATGTTAAAGCTAAAACTTTGCTTTTAAATAAAAGAATGAAAAAGGGGATGAAGATCTGGGGCCACACATCACCAAATAAATGGCATTTTTTGATTGACTGGTACCAAGAGAAATAAGACAGTGTATCTGTGGACAAGTTTCTACATAATTAACTTTGTCTTGGTAAACTGTTTCCTACAGCAGAATTTTGACCTGGGGGTAATAAAGTAGGAAACACTTGGTAGCAGTACACTGTGGTTTGTAGAGTTTTTGCTGGATATTTCTCAAAGGTATTTTTCAGCTGAAAGTCTTTAAAGAGGGAGAAAATAGTGGCATCTACTTTTGTCTTGAGTTTAAATCATTGTCATCTCTGTATAGTAGTGACTTTGATAGACTGTCCCTTCTGCTCAGAATGTTACCCAGGAAGGAAGTGTATACTGGATGGTCCATGTCATTGCTGTTAGTGACATGAAGCAACACAAAAAGGATTGGTTGGGAGAGTAATGGTGATTTTGACTTTCCTGCGGGGCATTTTTAAGGATAATCATTATTTTAATGCTTTTGTAAATATTGCCTTTAGTTACTCTATTCCTGTGAACTATCAAGTTGAAAGTAGTATTTTATGATCATTAAACTTTCAAACGGGAAAGCGTTTTGAATATTGCTCTTCATTTTACTAGCCTGATGATCGTGTAAGACTAAATGTTGAAAGACGTGATAAAAATACTTCCACAAATCTTTTAGAATATACCATAATTCTAAAGGTGCATGGAATAAGAGAATCCCTTCTTTCCAATTTTTGTTTCAGATTACAGAATCTCTTCTGATAAAATATTAGGGTTTAGGTGAACCTAAAAGCATCACTCCTGCTTTCTGAATTGTGAGAAATCTAGAAAATCAACATGGTAAACACAGGTTAGAATCCTGATACCAACTATGAACTGTATGACTTTGGGTAAATTAACCTCGCAGTGTCTCAAATTCCTTATCAAAATGGGGATAAGTAACTCATTAGTTATCTAAGTACCTCCTCCTGGGAGGTTGTGATGAAGACCTACTTTGACGGCTGAAGGAACTGTGCTCCACAGGAGAGCAACTGCTCTCAACTTCTGACCACTCCTCCCCAAATACTGTCCGGAAACACAACATCAATATTCTACATACTTTTGTGAGGAGATCCTCTCAATTTAATGAAATCTTCTTCACAAAATTGAATCAGTCAGTCCTCTGTCTATGTGTCCATCCATCCATCCATCATCTACCCATCTACCTATCACCTACCACCTCGCCCCCACAACCCCGGTTGCAACAGAAGTTATTTAGAAGTCATGCCTTCATAGAAGGCATATGAAGACAAATTGTGGTCATTTGTAACATGTTGGAAAAATTAGGATTGCCTTAACATTTTTTTTTTTAAATCTCCAGTTTTACTAATAAGCAGGTAGTTTATACCGGTACTGAAGAAAAATGAAATTTTAGAGTTTCAACAAAAGGAGGGTAAATAGAACATGTCACCTCCCTAAATTATGTCAGTGACCTTAATGTTTGTCAAAAATTCCTTTCAGGATTGTTTTTACTATTGTAAGAGAAGGAAGATATTTCCAGGCATCTCTTGTTTACAGGGCCTCTAAGACAAAAAAGTTTTCTCTGCTTTTTAGTCAGATACGATGCACAGCCATGCTGTTAAAAGCTATTATACTTTATGCTTTTTGGTTTACTTTTGGACAACCCAGAACTCGGAGTATTTTCCACCGGTTCTTTAAAAATCAAGTTAAGTAGGCTAGACAAATTTTAAAGTACAAGAAAATATAGGGGATTTTTTTGGCCTCCTTCAGGAAATTATTTCTGAAATGTTACACTTCATATTTATTTTCAGAAATATATTCTAGTTCCAAGTCTGTTCAGTATATGCATTTTAACACCTTTGCACTATAGCTCTTCTGAATACTCCCTAATGTCCTTTGGCTAAAGGCAATAAAATTTTGACAAGATTTAATCATACATTACTGCTTTATATCTTATGTCTTCCAGGTCAGTAGAATAGCTACACATGAAAAAAAAAAAAAAAAAAAAAGGAAAGCCAACATGTTAGCCATGTTAATAGCACAAGTGTAATATCGCTTGGAATTCATAGTTCCAAAAAAATGTAATCATTCTATGATTGGTGAATTCTGCAAAATTGTTTTCATAGCAATAGAGAAAAAAATACTAAAGTATTTTTGAATTATAAAATCAATGCAAAGTGCTTTCTAAAAATCAGGTTGAATTTACCCAGTTGACCCAGTTATCAAAATGCTTTTAAAAAATGAACATCCCAGCACTTCTCAGTTTAGATATTCTTCCTGAAATGAGCTTGGTAAACAGAGTGTTGTTTTAGCCTCAGAACATAAGCCTACTGTCTATAAAAACAGGAAGGTGCAGGCCTACAGGTAAAATTTCAAAACCAACGCCATGTTTTTGCTATCTGACACTTACCAAAGTTAGTGAATATATATATTTTTTTTCAGTAAGCTCTCAGAAATACATTTAACAACTTAACTTGAGGCTTCTAACAAGGCTTCATGATGACTTTAAAGCAGGACTAATCCTGGGCTTATCTCCAAATTCCAGGCAACCTTCACGGCATCCACACGGAAAATGTTGAAATGTGTGAACTAAGCTGGGGCTTAGCCTCAGAGACAGGGCAGATTTGAACCTGACAGTTCTCTAAAGTTTGTGTGCTTAGAGGAATTCAAGTTTAAACCGAGGGAACTCACAGGAGAGTTGCTGATACACTTCCCTTAATGCAGGTGTGAGGGCACTATTGTGCCCTGGATGTGTGTGCACTTACACACACACATGCACACTAACTCACTCTCGCCCCTGCTTGTTTCAAACTTCCTGGACAGGAAAAGTAGGGAGCTGAGTGTTAGAGTTTCACAAAGACCTATTATTCTCCATGTTCTAGTTAGAGGGAAAATCACAAACTTAAAACTATCCTTCCGATCTAGCAAAATCAGCCACTTTAAAGAAATTCCAGTTTACTCTTCCTCAGAGAGCATAGATCCTCGCTACTCAAAGTGTGGTCCATAGATCAGCAACGTCAGCGTCACATTGAGGCTTATCAGTCATGCAGACTGTCAGGCTCCATCCAGATACATCAGAATCTTCACTTCAACAAAACCTGTGTCATTTTTATGCAAATCAAGGTTTCAGAATAATTGTCATGTGTCTTAGAATTGGGGTTGGAGCTTCAGTGAGTAATATAAATGCATAAATAGCTTAATTTCAAAAATCTCCTGTGTCTTATCCATATTATTTTGACGTACATTTTTGTATTCTTATTATTTAGCATTTAATTGATATTGGATTTATAAATCTGCAAGGGGAAATTTGGGATGGGAATTCAATAGTATTACCTCTACATTATTGTATGTGACATTTGTGATAACATTTCTTTGATAAATGTTGGCATTTTCACAAGTTTATAGACATTTACTATGCCTTCTCATGAACTGATTTTGTAGCATTTTATGTTGAATTTGAGGTTACTGCTGTTACTCCTCCCTTGCCAATTTTCCTTTTTTGTTATACAAATGTGCCTTCCAATATTTTGTAGATCTAATTTGCTTTGAAATCATTTAATAATTTTCGTGCCAAATTCAGAAATCATGTGTATACATACACACACACAAT